GTACTCATGAAGGGCAATTTGGAATCGAACTTGTATGTTTTTCAAGGAAATGTAGTTTTAGGAGAAATTGTTGTAACATCATGGAGTAGTAATAAAAATCAGTTGTGTTATCTGCGTTTGGGTCATATGAGTGACAATAGGTTATCTGTTTTAAGCAGGTAGCGTTTGTTGAATGGGTATAAAGAAGAAGTCATGTGTTTTTATGAACATTGTTTGTTTGAGAAGTATACCAGAGTAAAATTCAATAAGAAGGTAGTGCACAAAACTAGAGATAAGTTAGATTATGCTAATTCTGACTTATGAGGTCCATACAGAGTTCCCTCTAAGAATGATGCCAGATATTTCATGATATTGATTGATGACTCTAGAAAGGTATAGATGTATTTTCTAAAGTTCAAGGAAGAGATATTTTCAACATTTGTCAGATGGAAGGCCATGATTAAAAAGCAGAGAGAGAGGAAGATCAAGTGTTTTACGACTGACAATGAGTTTGAAATTTTGCAATAATGTGTTTGATGATTTCTACAATACAGAAGAAATAGTGAGACATCACACTTGTGTTGGGACACCACAACAGAATGGTATTGCAGAATGTATGAATAAGGTGCTTTGTGATAAGACACGAAAGATGTTGTCTGATTTAGGTTTAGGACAGGAATTTTGGGCTGAGGCTATGAATACTGCTAGTTTCTTGATAAATAGATCTCAATCCATAGCTATTAAAGGTAAAACTCTTTTTGAGGTATGGTCTGGTTCACTTGCTAATTACTATGAGTTGAGAATATTTGGTTTTCCTGTTTATACTCATGTTAGAGACGGTAAACTTGAGTCGAAGGTAAAGAAATGCATATTTGTAGGGTATACATATTGAGTGAAAGGTTACAGGTTATGGTGAAGTGATTCCAAATCTCTAGAGTTGATTATCAATATATATGTGAAATTTAATTAGTCTGTTTCACTAGACAGTCAGAAGGGGAAAGTAATAGCTGAATCTGATCACAGTATCAAAGAACAAGCAAAGTTAGAAGTTTAGTCCAATAGTTCGGGGAATGAAGTGCAGGATCTTAATAAAAAAGGTGATCGTGTACTTGATCAACAAGAACCATATAGTATTACAACAGACAGGGAGAGAAGACAAATTAGACAAGCACATAAATATGAGAATTTGGATGCATATAACTTGTTAGTTACAGGAATAGTTGATTTGCAGGAACTAGTGAGTACAGATGCAGATCAGATAATTGGTGTTGTGTGTGAAGAACTTGATGACATCTGTCACTTTATTTAGGGATCATATAGCAAGTTTAGGCGCGGTCTATACTTGGATGGAGTATGTGATACTCAATAGCATCCCAGTGGGGACATTTGGCAAGATGGTGCGATAAGACAGTCAGTTGCTTTGATGATAGAGGGAATTCAAGTCAAGGGGAAGATTGATTAATGTGTCTTGAATTTTGGTGATATTTATCTATATTCTAGAGGATAGTTTATGTTTATTATACCGAGATATTTTTGTATTTATTTTAAAAAATATTTGATATATATTTTAGAGAGCTTTTATTTGAGAAAAACTATATTAGTCTTTTTATAAATAAGTTTGCTAATCTATTGATGATGTACTTTCAAATTATCATAGTAGAAAATTTTCTTGTTGGTCTTGTTCGTGAATGTAGGCACACTGTTTAACCACATAAAAAATTTGTGTAATTTTTTTTTATATTTTTATTTTGGTGTGATTGTGCATGCTTTATGAATTTATTTCTCCAACACAACATTTGGCCATATTGATGTGAAACCTTGACATGTGCTCAAACATCCTCATAAATGCGTTAGATATTAATTTATTATTTTGTAGGAGAAAAGAAAATTTTTGTGTGATCCATAAATGAAGGTGAGACACCTCCAATTCTATCCTTACCAATCATAAACCAATCTTGGGCCTTGTTATTCATAATGACTTCAAACGAGATCGAAGATAGGCAAGGTCGTGTAATTAACACTTGGGCTGATATTATTAACCGTGCTAACCTTGGTATGGAAGTTATATATGAACGTAATGCTCACAACTTCCCTCTAGACCTAGCGGCTGTTGAAGCTCCATCTACAAATGGATAAGACTTTTGTTTTAGTGGAGACCGACGCGTTTTTGAAATAACTAAATAAAGGAGCAATAATCAAGAAAGTTGATCATTGCTCCTTTATTTAGTTATTTATTATTATTTAATAATTTTTTCTATTTTCTATTTATAGAATAAAATCAAAAAAAAAAAAAAGAAACAAAAGTTTTTATGCTCTCAACATAAAATCATAATCCAACTCCTCAATCTATGTCCATGGCCCTTGCATTCCACTATTAAATCCAAGGAAGCCCAATTAACCATGTTATATGCCTTTTTAAAATCTACTTTCATGATCAGCCATTCTTTTCTTAGCTCTTCTCATATATTCTACTAATTTGTTTGTTATGAGAGACGCCTTCAAGATTTTGTTCATCATCCCTTAAGGCCATTTTGGTTTGGTGATATAGTATCACCC